GGCCAATAAGTGAGAGAAAAAGCAAACTCTTCTCTTCTTTGGATTTGAATGTAGCACGAGATATCTCCGTGGTAAGTGATAACATCTCATAAATCGTGCATGTCTCTTCCAAACGCTTTTACAGTCAAATTTGTTTCAATCTGTAAACCATACTAATAATGAATACCGTGTTGATACACGAATATCTTCATAATAATAGTGCAGGTAACTAGGACATCCGTTGCTTAGTACCGATAGGAAATAAATTATTAAATTGAAGCATAGTCAAGTGGCTATGTTTACTTACCTCCTCCAGCCTGGGAGTCTGTACAACTGGACACACAGCTACTGCAAGCGAATGAATAGCAGGTGGCACAGATGATATGTACACAGGCCCCAACACAACAAGGTAATTTCGCAGAAGCTGTTTTTCAACTATATTAACTGTTGTAAAATAGACACCTGGTAGACATCTGTTATAATATATACACATAGTACACGCACGGTACTATATCGATACTTAAGGGTAGTCTAGTAATATTGCCGAGGTACCGAGGACTTCTGTAATCCAAAATAATAACATTTACGTGAAGAAGAAAACAATGCGCACGCCTGTCAGTTGTGAGTGTGTGGGGTGCAGTGGAGTGGTGGTATCTTAGTATGTTGATATGAAAATTTTAGTGTGTTCATATTAACATAGCAGCAATCCTTGTATCATACGGTTAATTCTTCATTCACTCCAAATATGACATCGACACTCAAAATATTATGACATCTACACTTCAAATATCATGACATCGACACTCCAAATATCATGTCATCTAAACTTCAAATATCATATCATCTACACTCCGAATATCATGACATCGACACTGCAAACATCATGTCATCTACACTTCAAATACCATGTCATCTACACTCCAAATATCATGACATCGACACTCCAAATATCATGTCATCTAAACTCCAAATATCATATCATCTACACTCCGAATATCATGACATCGACACTGCAAACATCATGTCATCTACACTCCAAATACCATGTCATCTACACTCCAAATATCATGTCATCTAAACTCCAAATATCATATCATCTACACTCCGAATATCATGACATCGACACTGCAAACATTATGTCATCTACACTCCAAATACCATGTCATCTACACTCCAAATATCATGACATCGACACTCCGAATATCATGACATCGACACTCCAAATATCATGACATCGACACTCCGAATATCATGACATCGACCCTGCAAATATCATGTCATCTACACTCCAAATATCATGTCATATACACTCCAAATATCATGACATCGACACTCCAAATATCATGTCATCTACACTCCAAGTATCATGTCATATACACTCCAAATATCATGTCATCTACACTCCAAATATCATATCATCTACACTCCAAATATCATGACATCGACACTCCAAATATCATGTCATCTACACTCCAAATATCATGTCATCTACACTCCAAATATCATGTCATATACACTCCAAATATCATGTCATATACACTCCAAATATCATGACATCGACACTCCAAATATCATGTCATCTACACTCCAAATATCATGTCATCTACACTCCAAATATCATGTCATATACACTCCAAATATCATGTCATATACACTCCAAATATCATGACATCGACACTCGAAATATCATGTCATCTACACTCCAAATATCATGACATCTACACTCCAAATATCTTGTCATATACACTCCAAATATCATGGCATCGACACTCCAAATATCATGTCATCTACACTCCAAATATCATGACATCTACACTCCAAATACCATGTCATCTACACTCCAAATATCATGAAATCTACACTCCAAATATCATGACATCGACACTCCGAATATCATGTCATCGACACTCAAAATACCATGTCATCTATACTCCAAATATCATGTCATCGACACTCCAAATATCATGTCACCTACACTCCAAATATCATGACATTTACACTCCACATGACATACATATGACATTGCCATGCAAGCACCATATGACATTGTCACCCAAGCACCATATGACATTGCCACCCAAGCACTATATGACATTACCACCCAAGAACCAGATGACATCGACACCCCAACACCAGATGACATTGAAACCTCAAAACAAACACCACATGACATAGATAACTCCCATACACCATGACATCGGTACTTCAAAACACCATGACATCAATACCCCAAACACACTGACATCTACATCTCAAACACCATGCGACATCTACATCCCACACACCGTATGACATCTTTATCCCAAACACCATATGGCATCTACATCCCAAAACACCAGATAACATCTACATCCAAAACACCATATGAGATCTACACCCAAAACACCAAATGGCATCTACATCCCAAAATACCATATGACATCTACATCCCAACACCATATAAGATCTACACCCTAAACACCATATGACATCTACATCCCAAACATCATATGACATCTACATCCCAAACACCAT